TTTTCATTTATATGCTGAACTTAAATCAACCCCCCCGTTTACCGTCTTGTCAAAAAAAGTAATACTAAACACAAATAGTGCAGTTTGAACATACGGAAATTGGATTGTGAATATGCCATTTGCCTTACGTTACGAAATTACACCAATAACGACAGACAACATTAGCGATTTGAAAGGCATTGAAAAGTGATTAGAGTTTGAAAATTGATTCGACTTTTTAATCTCGTCGCGTTAACACTATGAATAACACATTTTCATGTGCTAAAACCGATACGGCTACGACTTTATTGTATTATTTATGGATAAGTGGGATTTACAAGAAACGATTCCGTTGAAAATGAGGAAAATGTTTTCTAATCGTGTGGATTGCATATAGTTTGTTTGTTCTTTTTGAATAAAATGAAATGAAAAGCCAACTGCTAAGGTTTGCTCCCCGATCCTGTTAACAATCCTTTCTGATAATCTATTGGACATTTAAATCAACGCGGTTAATTAAAATCGGGTCCTTAATTTCAATTGGCCCCTGCGTTAAAAGCAATCCTGTGGAATCCAGTCTCACGCTTGTTGAAGTACTAAACTTAAATCTAAAGTTTTCAAATATTGTCAAATTAATTATTTGAAACGTAAAATCAAAGTTTAATGTTAAGATGATAAAGTAATTCCTGTCATACGGGATGGCTTAACGTAAAACTACCGTTTGGATGTCACGACGACGACTTTATACATTTTTTCATGTTTTTATTATTTAAAATTTAATAGGATAAGCGGAGTTTCCCGCGACACCCCGACGGTGGACATGACCTCTGCCGTTTCGAACACTCTTTAAAAAAATAAATAATTGTTGTGTAATACTTTCAACTAATTTTTTAAATTGTTTTTTCACCTTTTTCAGTAAAAGATGTGCTCATCTTCCCGAGACAGTCTGAAGGCACTTTTTTACCATCTTTATTTATTTTATAAAACCTCGATTACATTTTTAATTTACCTGAACCATTAGGGAAATGCCCACAATCCCCTGTGATTTGTGTTGAGCCTCCGTCATATTATGGTACAGCTCCGCGTTGAATCCGTACAGCTGAATCTGAAAATGAAGACACTTTGAAATATTTAAAACAAAAATCAATAATAAGAATGCACACAGACATACACAAATTAATTTTCCTATATATCGCTCTACATTGGTAATTCCTCACCTAGAAATTTATTTTCAAGAAATCGTAACACTATTATATCTCCATATATACAAACATATACAATTTAGCGCTTAAGGGAAGTATCATCCGTTCAGAATAAAGGATGCAATGCCCTGAAAGTGTCTCTTTCAGCTGAGGGAGTCCCAGTTGAAGGAAACCGCGTCCTCTTTTTCACTCGAACAATTTAGAATGAACGGTCTATTCATAACTGTTGTTATTTCTTCTCGACCGCGTTTCAGACACTACGAGATTTTACATCTCTTCTGTTTCGGCTTTCAAAATTTGGGGGCCCGATGTTGCCCTAGATGATTTTTTTATCGTTAGAATGATCGATGTAACTTTTAACGTAAACGTTCACTTGTACGAGAGTCTTAAGGAAAAATGAATCTGATAAATATATCGATATGATTTCAAACGTAGGGAATTATTTTATTGAAAGTTTTATTTATCCGTTGTTCAATTTTATATGAAAGAAGGCTTCGGGTCCCTCGCTTTGAACAATCTATACACCACGCGGTTAGAAAACCGCGAAAATCATCAAAAACAGTCTGCCCTCCAGTGTACATCAACAACAAGAGATACCTACTTCCATTCATGTCAAATACTGACGTAGATGTCTGTACCTAGACAGCAAACTGACGTCGAATCCCCACCAAGGCTTAAGAGGCAATAACTTAACAGAAGACTTTCCACGAACGAAATATGACTTGAACAACACTAAGCTAACATAAGACTTTACAGCAACCACTTTGGACATACTGGGTTCTGCCGAGCCATCCAAAGTCCAGCGCGCCCAATCCTTTCAATAAAATGTCCTCAGATAAACTGTCAATGCTCCTTACTACGTCACTAAACTCACTATCCACAACGACCTCAAAATTATTTTTGTCAACGAACTGATCAGTTCCCGACACTAAAAGATTAACACCCACCTCTCGATCCGTCCTAACCCTACTGCTTGAGCTCTCTCTAATTTCCATCCCGAGAACCCGACCATGTTTTTTGGAAATATTCAACTGTGGCTCATGCATGACCTTTCTATCAAAATTTTTCAGGATAAGTAACTTTGTTATATTCAATGAGAATCCCACATTTTTAATTGCCAATGAGATTCTAGAGCTTTTTTATGCCACTTTTGCTTACAGGAAAATTTTGATAGGATCGATCATTTCTGATTTAGGCCCGACGGCAAATGCGTGAGCGGGTATGCTTTTTGTAACAAGATGGCCCTTTCCGTTTATTTCGAAAGCGATTAGCATTAAAAAACAAACAATTTAAAGCAAAAGCTTACACCCTCGCGTGTTTTCCGTCCGGCATAACTCAGAAATGATCTATTTTATAAAAATTTTCTTTTCAGTAGAACTGTCATAAAATAAGCTCTAAAATCGAACTGTAGAATGTTAAATCAGAATAAAGATAGGGAATTCTGATTTAATATAACAAAGTTAGTTTCATTTCCCAGCTGTATGAGAAAGTTATGTTAAATCTGTTACCACCACGCAATTCTTAGCCAAAATTAACTTTGGGTTTGTATAATACCATTTTTTCCTAATGTTAATCATTTCCGAATTAAATGAATGGACTGTAGAAGTTGATACACCCTGTATATGACTGTATATTTCATTCTGTAGTTAGTACAAATGAGCTGATAGCGTTTTAAAATGTCGACTTAATTTTCATAAAAAGTAGAGTAAGTAACAGATCGAGACGCTCAAATAGCTTCAGGTTGAAAAATACGCGTGAAATATCAGTAGAAGTAAAAACAAGGAGAGGGCCGGCGATGACCTCAGCTGTCTGTTGGCCCCAAAACTTCCCACGCACATGTTGTTATTATTGTAGATGATACTCTGAAATTGGTCGTAATTGCGCGTATTTTCATTTATATGCTGAACTTAAATCAATCAATACAAAAATTGAATCTGCCATTACTTTCAGTATAAAAATCAAAATACATATTGTTGTGTAAAAATAAAATTTAGTTCTTCAGATAATTTTTTCGTAGAAAATTACTCAATTATTAGAGATTTGTCCAAAAATAACTTAGTAAAAATACTAATTTAATTTTGATGTTCCATTCCATAAAATTTAGCATTGCTTTTTAAGTAGTATAATAAACAAGAAAGGACTCATTTTTTCTTAATGTCGGATTAGAAGTTTCATAAAAAAATTAACTAGTTGTTGTATTGTTTGACTCATTGCGATCTTTACAGTACTCAATAATTTGCCGATTTCCTTAATTTCTTCTAAGGCTGTTAAAAAATATTTTTGTCTATTTAATTTGCAGATGTGAAGTAAGAAATCGAATTTATTGTGAAGGCGGCCGAAGATAAGGATATGATTAGGAGAAGAAGGTGATGTCTAAAGGGCCGAGGAAAGGGCAGGACCGAGATATTTCATTACACATTCGATGAATCTGGGCTCCGCGGGCCATCCTTTTATTATGTGTACTCCATATATCTATATCTATATATAAAAATCCTTTCTTTTCTTCCCATATTTTTTTCCATCCCTCCCTTATATCGGGTCTCACTTTTTCTCGAAGGCCTCGGGCCACAATAACCACGGAAGCGACATTTTATTGATGCACTCCGTGAGATTAGGACGAGCTAACCAACCAGAACCTAACGTCCGCATTTTTTGAGCCCCCGGAGCGAGACCGGCTTTTCTCTTATCCTCTCTTACTCATCTATACCTCGTATTTTACCTAATTCCCTGACCTTGCAAATGCCCTCTGCCTCGTTTTAAAATTTGAACTGCTCAATTGGAAAAAAGAGATAACCCTTTAATTTAATTATACAAGCGTACTAAGGGGAAAACTACGATCTTCGCACTTTAAATTTTAACACTGTCATTCTAACCACGGGCAGATATTCGACATGGGTCTATTTAAATTTATAGAATTTGCTATAAACAAAATCCGAGACAATGTCACATAGAGGCCATGAAAATCAATTTCAGGGCGTTGTGGACATGCATCCTCCCTTGAGATGGAATAATGCTTCTCGGGGGTCTTTTTTGATGTCGAACCGATCAAGTCTGACACCTGGGTTTGATCTGGAACTCAAGCGCATCCTTCCCTCTGCATACTTCCTCATGGTTAAATCTTACCTGGCCGATGGGTATTTTGAATATGGGTTGGATTTTGATAAAAGAGTCGGTGAATGCAACTAAAATGACCAAAATGTTTGGTACAAATATTTGGTAATGAACAAGCTGATAAACTGGCCAAAGGAGGGTTTTACAAGACCTAAAACCAGAATCTACAATTGAGATACCAAGATCAAACAGACTACTCTATACAAAGCACACAGAGCGACTACTCTCAGAATAGGTCCATACAAAGCAATACGAGATATATATTTAAAAAAAATTAACTAACACATTATATGCTGCTAAACAGGGTAGTGATACGGTTATAGACCTGTTTTCTGGCATTTACGACACATTTATATACATAATAAGGGTATATACAATGATGACCCAAATTATCCCCTATATTATCTAAGAAACTGCTCAATGGAGACAACCTAAAAATGACCTGTGTAAAAGATTACAGTAATGTCAACCCATGACCTAACATTTCTTAAGAGACAGATCGAGTCGATTGAACTAAACTAAAGGAAAAATACAATAAACCAGAAAGCTGGAGTGCTTGGGTAATGTAAAACTCCCGCTTCCTAACGGCCCATCATAATCATCATAAGTCCGTGGTGTAACATTAAAATAAAGAAATGAAATGCCTTAACAACAGGCATACAATCATTGTTTACCGAAGAGTTTTCCCACCAAGAGACGTCCAATTTGAAATGGAAAAAGTTTAAAATGAAATGGAAAATATCAAATAAAAAGTTTAATATGGTTTAATATTAGAAAAGTGTAATTTAGTTTGTTGATAGTTTAAATCAGTTTAAAAAAAGGTCAATTCCACCAAAAAAGAGGTTGAATTAGGTTTATGACAAGGTTATATAAATTTTTATAGAGTTTACTAAAACGCCTTAATAAATTTAGTCAATTACCAAATGGTAATCTCAATATACTTTATCAGATTATCCAGGAATTTAATTGTCGTTTGGTGATTTTATGTTGGTCAGAATTAAAATTTATAGATAAAAACACAGGGTGAAAGGTCTGGATATCTGTATCGCCACAATCAGGCCGGCTCAGAAGAAACGTACAAGAATTTTAAGTAAATGATAATTTTGTTTGCTTTAATCTAAGCTTAATGTGATACTTATCCCTAACGATAGCGATATAATCAGGGAATGGTCGGCAGTTAAACGATTTCCTTCTATTAGACGGTCCTTTCACCCCATTTCTACCTATTATTAACTGGTCGATTATGGAATATTTATCTTTTTTATGGAACCAAATTTTTAACTAATAGGACGTATAAAAAACGTCTCTTTAATTTATACAGACAATAACTAATTTGTAAAATAGCTAACTAAGCTTTTGTGATTCCTCACCTCGCTCCATAAAGGATAAATAAATATGAAGGTTTCTTAACAAAATTTATTTATATTAAGATTGAGAAAAAAATCTTAATGGATCAACATGTGAAATTATTAAAACCGAAAAGAAATTGGCCGTTGACCAACGTACGGCGTTGGTTACCATGCAAAACCCATGCATTTCACTTTGTTAGTGCATGGGGGGAAACTAGTTCCCAGCCCATTTGTTGACTTTGGAGACCGCTTTGGCTAATGCCACAGATACTAGTGTAAGCATCCACGACAAAGAGAAGCAACAATGAGGGCTGAGTGAGATTAGTGTCTTATCTTACTGGAGCAATTCAATCCATTTATTTGCAAGGGTTGGTTGAACAACAGCCTACATTTATGTTCAGCTATAGTCATGTTGTCTAAACTGCGAAAGTTCAACCAACATT